CCTGTTTTCTGTAATCTTTCCCTGACGCACCTGAAGAACACCTAATTCTCATCTTTTTAAAGGTTCTTTTCATACTGATTTTTATTTAGCTCTGCTAACTTGACGCTTTTAAAATACTACACCATTCCCTATTTGATTCTATTACAAATATTCGTTGATTGATTTACCGGGCTATATAAAGATGACATTTGTTTTTGTCCCGTTTTTTGGAGATGAAACTGCTACTTTGATTTTCTATCAGGCGTAATATCATGTTTTACGCTTTTTCCTGAAAATTTCATTTGACCTTTTTGTACTATTTACACCTCGAAGTATTGACGTAGAGCCTAAAGCCTAATTAACCTAACCACCTAAAAGCACTTAATTTTATTGCATTTTTTGAAGTTATACTGCTTTTGCCGCGTTTGAAAAAATACTTCTAATTCCAAGTTACCTATTTGCGTAAACCGATATCAATTGCATTTAATGTCTTTTCACATACAGAGATGGCATAGGGGATGGTGCGTACGTGAGTACACATTTTTTAATTCAATCATTATTTCATGTCACTATAACAGCGTGGTCTTTAACAGGTAATTTACATTAATTACAGTCTTTTTTAATTAATGTTTGAACACTTAATTTCATATTTGGTATATGTGAATAACGGTGCCATAAAATTTACATCTGTCATCAGATGACACGGCGTCTCGAAGTATATTCGCGTGTAATCTAAAGAGCACAAATAAAAAGAAGGTGTAGGTATTATTTTCTTATCTATATTATATTCTTTTACTTCTTCATTTCACAACTGATAAACAATTTTATTGATTTGTCTTTGTTTGTTTTTTTGTGTTTATTTTCATTAATATTCACTTACCCACTCGTCACATATTCAATGGCAAAGGAAACCATCGCGATATTTCTGCATGTTTTCGAAATAATAATATAAAAATATTTTAAGATATTAGTAGTCTGCCAATTTGGAGTCGCGCTGTGAACTATGACTGTATAGAGGATTGAGGATTCTTTTCCTCAGTTCTTTTTATTTGTACTCGATTCTAGATTCATATTACGTATAAGATGCAGAAAGAGCTAATTTTGAGTCTAATGGGGCACAGCAACCTGAGGATTGGAATAAAATTACAAGATTGAACGAACTTACCTTAAGTGAAGTTCTATCGTATCTATACGAAATCCTTGTCCGAGATGGGTTTACGAGTGTTAGGCTCCATGAACCAGTACCAAATCACTATGTTTCAAAGCTCTGAAAGAAAAGTTTGTAAGTCAGCGCACACAGTAAAGCATTGAAATACAAAAAATGACGCCGCTGGATTGTGTTCTGTAAATGGACAAGTTAAATTATTGCCATTAATTCCCCCATTGTGTTGTGATGTTTATGAATCGAACGACGAACATGTGCGACAGCCCCGAACCCATCCCCCGTGTACGCTTTTATACATCTTCTCACTTGCCCTACGCAAGGCCATGAACACTTTCAAATCCATTTTTTTTAATTATTTCCTGTGTTTTAAGGACGATTTACAAACATAAATTTCACGTGGACAAACACCCAGATGCGAAACAACTATCTGTGGGTCACACAAATAGTTGTCCCGTGTGGACAAACCCACGACCCCTGACGCCGAAGTCAATACCTTGGCAACTGCGCCACGGGGTCATCAACACTCACTGTCACGCTATTTTCTTTATTTATTGGCACGATCTGAAGAACAGTATCAGGTTTTCATTTATTCTCAATTAAAATAAATCATTTTTTACCATCAATTACTAAATATAACTTAGTCACTTGGCGTTAATTGAAAACCGCCGTCCATTGACATTTTCAACGCCCTTAGGGTTGCAGATGCGGTTTCACCATGTGATAAAGTGGGCCACGGCTACCTCAGTTACCAGAAGAAACGTAGAAGAGAGAGACAATACTTCCACTGCACTGCACTTACTGCTGGTATTCTGTGAGGTCATTATAAATACAGTATGTGAAACAGGAGATATTACAACCCATAAGCCGTGGCGGGACAACAGGTTGTTCCTGTCGATATCACATTATAAGCAAAAACTAAATACATTATCCGCACATCGTTGAAATGTATTTCTTCACGCTACACTTGCATTATCAGCCTTTCGAGCAATAAACAGATAGGAATTGTACATTCTAATAGCGGCATGCGGAATCATCTAGTAATCACATATTACATTGTGTATGTGCCATAGTTCTAGCAATAAAAATACGTAGTACACGATCGGTTCGCGTTTTTTCCCATTTTAATTATTATCTAAGCTTGATTATTAATCGGTTGATGTCGGTTTCCTCAATTGCAAAACGCCGCGGCGGTCGTGTCATACTTTGTTCGTATTACCATCATTGGCCACGTTGAATTTATGATAGGATATTCGTTTGCTGTTAATAACGATACTTTCTGTAGTGGAGTCTTCTGTGAGTTCCAGACTATGGGCCGTGCTGAAGACTGGGGAGTGGCGTGAAGTGGACGTAACGTACGTTGGCGTTTCGTCAGGTGAATAAGGCAGGCGGGGGCCATTTTTTTGATGTTTAGCAATGCATCTGCAATCCGTCGAGTCTTGTAGACGTCCAGGCGGCGGTAACCGCTCAACTTTGCGTGAACCGCGTGTTCGCTTTACAACTTTTCACATAAAAACTCGGTAGTTGATTGCTATTACACGATGCTTCACAGTGATAGCTTATGTGGTTAAACTCACTTGTATTAAGTGGTTAAAATCATTGTATTGTTTAAGACATCATTAAATAAGTATTTGTAGTACAAATAGATTAAAATAATTTTTGTTAAGTCTGATTCATTGATAGTTGGACAATAGCAATAAAAGTTTATCATCCAAATTACGTTTTAATCAATAGTAACTTAAACAGTTAACATATTTGAAGGATTCGTTTTATCTTTTATTTAACAAAAACAAAACCGCAGAATTTATGTGGCTACAGAATTATGTATATTACATTTCCTCTCATAAAGTAACTATTGAGTTTCCGTACAGTCATTAATTTTTTAAATGGTTGGTCTATGTCATTTATTTCTTTTATTTCTGTATTTTTTATACGCACTGTATGTTTTCCGTAAGAATATTGAGAGACTTAACCAAAATAAAAATAACCTGCAGCCTGGTGGCGTCGTATATTCTCGTTTGTATTACCTACTAGTTATGTAAATGGTATGCACTTATTCGTGCTATTTCTAATTGTTAGGTTAGTTTAGTTGCAGTATAGACGACACTGTAAAAAACAATACAACGAGTGCTAACGACATAATTAAAGTTAATGCTATGCAACGTCAGCTGCGAACACATCCCAGTCAGTCCTTCAGACTCGATCAAAGATTAAGATAAACATTACAATAGCGCTTCGCCAATAACTACATTTGTTGAAGTTTTATATGTGTGCCGTCTTATACGTGCCTACTCACGTTTATAATGTTGTTGACATTTAAAAGCCGGGTCCTCATAAATAGCTTCCTTGTTCTTATGCTTTACGTAGTATAGATACAAACACAATTGCGTTAATGTGTTGCATGTTACACGATGCAAGAAACCGTTTGCGATATGAAACAAACAACTTTTTCTCCGTCTAAAGAATTATATGAGTATAGTACTACCGTTAGGAATTATTGTTTCATATTAAAACAATACTTCCCTTTCCTAACGTAGGAACTAATATCTATTTCTATTAAGTTAGAACAAACCGACAGTACAGTTCACGTATGGAGTTAGCCGTAAATGGTGTCTACTACTAATAGATGAAATCTCTTTAAATTACTTCCCTGAAATATGACAACAGTATTCCTTATTCAAACACACGTCTTCGTCGCAATGTTCCTGAGCATGACTTCCACTTGTAATCAACACATGAGTCGAGTGCTATGACGGGCTCCACCCATTCTCACGCCCTCAAGCTGTCATCCACTCCGTCACTCCGTCAACGGACAAATTTCGTCAACTGTCGCCCATTACGCGCTGTGCGATGTTGTGTCAGAAATACAAGTGTTCGTAACGATTTCATTATGAGCTCGTCGCTCTTCCCACTACGTAGCATTATAAGGCTTTTTAATTTTGTTTGAACTCCGTTCACTCTTATGCCAGCTGTATTAGTAATAATATTTTCATGGAACGAGCCGACCCGCGCTTATGGACGCGAAAAGATATTAACCCGAGAGTTATTGCGATGTGTACGCTCAGTTAGGTTCAATGAATTAAATCATTGGCGCTATTTAAATGTGCCTCGCAGTCGTTCTCTGTCTTTAATCCAATGTTAGACAACGCAAGCTGTATACAAATTATAATTGAAATACTCGAAAGTTCATTACTTTTTTTTTTACGAAACAGAACATTGTGTGATAACAATCAACTTTTATTAGAGCTTCTGGACATGACATTAGTTTGAATCAACTGTAGATGGCATATGCTGTCGCCAAAAAAATATATTTATTTAATATTGGAATATAACTATGGGTTTTTTCGAAGAATATTATAGTTTTATCAGAAATATGGCAAAACATTATCTCTGTCTTACCCACATAAGGGTTTCTAAACATTCTTGCTCTAATGGAGCGAAGGGCTTTAGCGTTTTCTCCTTCTTCATCGCTTACTGCTTTCTTTCTCCTTATTACTGAGTAATTTTGCAAATAATATCATTCGCGGAAATGCCTCTTCTGGGAGCTCACTGAAACTTTGCCAATATGATATTTGAGAGCCTCGCTTTCTCCGATCATAAAGTACGATTCTCAACGAACGCCTAGGCTCTATAAGCATCGAGGCGGATATATTAAAGTTCTCTGCGATTGTATAAGATTTAGACGATATACGCTCACTTATTCTTGATCGTTCGTCTTGAATCTATCAATCGGAAGAAATCGCTACAAAATACGTATAAAATAGAAAAGAACGTTTGGTTTTCGCGGAACTTTAAAATCGAATTATGGCGTTTCAAAAGTGTTCATGCGTTTTTATTATTTCTTCTTATTACTTCCTTATTCGTATCGATCAATTGGATGCGATGTACGCGACAGAGGCCGCTGGGTGTGAATCGTCCTCAAGCCGCGCCGCATCCCCACAGGGTCCGAGCGGCGAGCGTCCGCAGGCGCGCGGGCAATGGGGCCGCGAATTCCGCCGTAAATCATCAGCGCGGAAACGCCGCGGTGCCCCAATAACCGGCGCGCGTCCCACCGCTTTCCGCGCGATAGATAAATCGAATGCCTGAGCGGCCCCGTCGCCGCGCGCGGAATGCCCGAATGAATTTTTCGACGGGCGCACCGGAAGCTGCCGCTATTACGTGACGCCGTCCCCGCCTCGGTCATTGTTTTCCCCGGACGGCATTCCGGGAATGCCGGCGGCATACGGCGGACGGCGATCAATCGATCAGATGGCCAGATAGAGCTTATCTAATAGGTCAGTTTTGTGCCGGAATTAATCAGGCGTCAAAGGCGTTCCCGCGGGCAGGCCGGGCCGTATATCTCCCCAATTAATGGATTCGCTAGGCGGCCACAAAGAGCACCGCCCGGTCGCTTTTCGGATTTTTTCACCGGCCCCAGGTCTCGCCGCGCGCGCGGGTTACGCCGCTCGACACTTAGAGTTCGTTCCACCGTCCGGGGCGGAATTGGTGCGTGCGGGTTCGGCATAAAGCGGCATTATTATTCCGCCGGCAATAAACAAGCAGTCGACGATGACAATTCGAACGCATAAAACAATGCTTTATCTAAGATCGGAAGGCGGCCCCCGGAGAGTTTAGTGTGAAATGTGTTCTCAGGGACACCGTTTAGTAGCGTAATGCGCGTGACTGTCGTACAAATTATGCATTTCGGCGGCGAGTCGATTTTATTGCCGCGGAAGTGACGTCAATAAACCACTGACAGTGTACCGGAGTTCAGTGCTCGTTTCGTATTATTCCCGACTGGGTTCTTCCGCGACATGCGTAACGCTGCACGGAATGGAGTGTACAAGGGCGTTTATAAAACACAGGCTCATTTGGCAAGCTGACGTCCCCGCTTAGCTGAGGAGCCAACATTAGCCCCAACTTTAACGGCTACGCTTTTACGACGGGCTTTTTACAAACGGCCTTTTAATGGATGACATGTGAACATGTAATTTTTTACACTTGTTTACGTGTCTAACAGTTTTAACGTTTATACAGTGAAACGCACAATACCTTTCTTGGGAGCGTTATGTAATCGCAAAATGTTTAAAAGTTCACTAATAATGTCAAGGATTTGCATAGAAATTATTATGTTTCTGATATACTGGATTCAATTTAAAATGCAGTTCTATTTTGTCAATAGCATCAAAGGCGGTTTAAAATTGCTAACTGATTAATGCCGTTTTGTTCCGCCGCGATTAATCCCTTTTAAAGAGAAATCGGATTACCACGGACGGGTGTGGAGTTGGGATTAATTTAATAGCAGCGATTGATTAAAAACAACTTTATAAAATACTTAGTGATATGTCTACTCGTATTATAGTGCTAATTATTTATTAACTATGTATTACTATGGTCTTAAAGGAATGCGTTAGATAAGTTACATCTAATAAAAGTATGTTCTTTATTGATAAAATCCCACAGTCGATATTAAGTCTGCCACTAGATCAATATAGACACAAAATTAAAAGAGAACTTATGGCTAAGTCATTTTATACCGTTGCGGAATATCTTCACGACGCCAGTATGTGGGGTTAATACTGTCGATACGTAGGCTAAAATAAGACATACTTGTTCTATTATATTGTAAACTAATCGTTTTAAAAAAGACCAACTATTGAGTTTCTTGCCGGTTTCTTCTCAACGGAAACCACTTTTCGAACCGGTGGTAACTTACGAATGTATTAATTTTTATGTAAAATTTTGACATTTCATATGAACGCACAAACGTCTATGTGAATGAATATATTTTTGATTTGATTTGATAATGAACATTGATGTTGCCCTTAATTCCGGACTGAATCTCAATTGAACTATGTAAGAATAATTTTTCGAAACGACACGTCTATGATTCGACTTTTAAAGTTTGGCCGTAAATGTCAAACAGAACGCTGCACCCATCGGCCAATCTATTTGCGACATAATGCGCTACAAAAAAAACAGCTGGATGAAGTGGTGCAATATATCGTTTAGTATTATTCGAAGTTCAAAACTTGCTCGAGAACTGTTCGTGTAGAGAGTCAAGTTAACGCTGAGTAGAAACAGTGACCATTACATGTTGAATCAAAATAAGTGTGATGAGGTGTTTCTGCTTATATTATATTAAAAGGTTAAGAAATTTTTATTGACTCTATAGTATAGTAGTAACTTTCTAAGAGATGATGATGAGTCGGTAGCTGAGTAACAAACCACCATCTGACGTTACTTCTTGCTGGAAAGCTGGTATTGAATTCGATTTGTTACATTGTTGCTCTTAATCATATCAATCGTAATATCATAAACACGTAAATTTTGGGACACAAAACTAATTAGTGTTTCATTTATATTTATATATTTTCCACTTCTGAGCCAAGACCTCCTCTGTACGGAGGGTATTAAGGCCTAGCCTAGGGTATTAAGGCTATAGTCGACCACGCGACCCTACCACGGATTGAAAGACCTCCACATATCTTATCAGACATTATTGGATCATTACTTCCATCGTCGTCGGTACTCAGACAATATGGTATTTCTCAAATATATTGTAAAATTCGTATTTCACTATAACAGAGGAACTTTAAATCCGCATAGTCGGTGTCACTAGATGGAGTGACGACCTGTGCAAGTGTGCGGGAAGTCGATGGCTCAGGATTGTACTTCTTAGCAGTCTGTGGGAGAGGCCTATGTTCAGCAGTGGACTCAAAAAGGCTGAAATGATGATGATGATGACTCGATATCCGTGATTTACCAAATATTCGGTGAAGCAAAACATGGTGATGGTAATATGTACATCTTGGAAATAATAAAAAACAATGTAAGATTGAAATCTGACAGAAGGAAATGAATTCGGGTAGTCCACAACCCCCTAATACCCTTGGTTCAGAGTAGGCATTTACCCAGCTATGAGACAAAAATGTAGCTAGTTATTTAACCATCCCAACACTGAACAAAATAGTTATTATTACTATTATAAGTGCTCATTTATTTCTCTTAATATGAACTAGCATCTGTATACTTATTCAAACTTTACAAGACAATATCCCTGTTGCGTACAATTCCCCATTACTGCCACATTTTATTCGTTCAGGGGCTGCTTTATCGATTGGAAAATTAGCTGCGAGCGACTTGTGCTCGTTGGAGTCATTGCTTCCGATAGCAGTCCTAAGACTCATTTCACGTACAATAAAACGTGATATCATAGCCGATGTTTCAAATGGACGACGAAATAATTCCATACATTTTCACTCCAATTGACTTCCTACAAGATAACATATTGTACGCATTTAATCTTAATGTCTAAGTAATGTAGTTGATGCTACGAGCATTCCACTGGATTATCTTAATTAATTAATCTAATCGTGACAGGTGGCGAACCTGTCGCGTATTACTATGTTTAGACAGTGATTAGATGACTGCCACGTATTTCCCTCCTATTGGTCAAATTATGTATCTTTATAATTTAAATATTTAGTTTATCTAGTAAACTACGTGATAATGGATACTTCTAATTCTTAAATCTGAATAGCCCAAGTGTCCGGGCGCTTAGATTTAATATACTCGAGCAACCTGAGTTCGATCCCCGGTGCCGGCACCTATGAAACTGTTGAATCAATGAAATTTTAAGTGCTGACTTATCACGTGCTCAGCGGTGAATGAGAATATCGTGAGGAAACCTGCATATTCTTCGAAATAATAATGAAAAAATAATATTTCCATGATATGTGAAGTCCGCCAATCCGCAGTGGGGCCGCGTGTTGAACTATGTCCTGATACACTCTGTATAGAGGAGGCCTTTGCCCAGCAGTACGACATGTATAGGCTGTCACTTTACTTTACTAGATACTAAATGCACGAGATGATCACACGTCAAAGTACTCTAAACGCATGCTAGAGTAAAACCTCTACACATTTAGACATTTACGAAAACTACATACACTACGGTTTCTCATCCTTAAATAATACACTACCTATATAATTCAATGTAACAGTTGAACTAACGTGTGATAACTCCACTTAATGGCATCGCATAAGTCATACTTCGAAAAAAACGATCGCAGTACCCTCCTCGAGCACAAATGGCCTGTGACGCCCAAACGCTCAAAGCCCTGGGAGAGTGCGTATCGACTGTGAAAAAAATGATATACTCCACGCCTTATATTGAACGGGAAATAAATCGTACACCTCCTTTAAGTGCCAATAAAAGTTGGAGTAAATCATAAAAGTATCACTCCGCGAGAAACGTCTATAACAAGTATGTTATTGCGGAATAATTCAGTGGCGGCGGAGGGTGGCGTGAGCTATGGCTCCCTCAAGGGCCAGGCGTGCCTCGACCCGGGATTCCCGGCGCTCTATCGGAGCCTTCAATTATTTATCGGACCCGTGTCTACTTTTCGTTTCACTCCTTTTGCAGGTAATGCCTTCGGGCGGTAGTTATCGGCCCGTCGGGAGTTGGCGACACGCGGAACTCCGCGCCCCCTGAACAGATTACGGAGATGTTAGCGCCACGGACATTGACGGATCGCCGCTTCTTCATTCTAATTACCACTGGCATGGCGGGATTTGCTTGGGATATTATCGCTATTTATTTTCATATATCGCTCTGCAATGACGGAGTAAAACCAACCCTTTCACTGCTAGGCACATAATTGCGCTATCTGATCTTTCCGGTGAAAGTGTCGAACATTCGTTATGATTTATTATTGGTTTTGTTTTATCCGTACTTAACATTGGATATTTTATTCTTGTTGACTGTATGCATGGAGCTATACGCCTATCTACTTAAAAGGCATCCACAAACCAGTGCCATGAAACTTTCTGCCGCGGCTATATGTTAAGCGGAGATGTTTTTGGTGCATACATTTTCACAATTACGTTTTTGTTCCTTATTTTATTTTTCCTGTAGTATAATGTTCCAAATAAACATTTCATTCTTTCTTATTTATACAACATAAGTACAGGTGAATAAATAGGGTAGGTACGAAAAATATGGGTGCGTGTAACTTTTGCACGTGGTTGAAGTAAAATAAAAAAAATCTTTACTAACAATAAATTAGAATTTAATTATATCGAGTTAATAATATAACATATATATTGAGGTTATACATACATACATACAGCGTAAATATTCAAAAATCGGATGCAACATAAACGCCGTCAAAGCATTCAGTTGCGTCCTAGTCGCACCTAAATAAGTTTTACTTTAAAATATGAAGATCTTTTTGTAGAAATATATGTATGCAAAAGAGTAATGACGACTGATAGAGGAAATTGTACATGTAGCGTCGCCTCCATCTAGTGTGGGACAGTTGCAAGAGAAAGGAGAGAGGAATTTAAGTTTTCTTTATATCTCTATGTGTTATAACGTAGAAGTTTATCTTTTTAGATAAAAACTCAATATGAATAAAAGAATAAAAAACCGAAGTCACTCATGCGTTTTGTTGTCATTGCCTCAGAACCACAAATCTGAATACTCTGAAATAGCCTAACAACATCAAAAATGTCACGAGATACGAGTTAAATCTGTAAACAGTTTCATTCAGTCATAAATGTTCTTGGGAAAACAAAAAGTTGCAACGTAATTGTGCATTGCACCCATCGTGAGGAAAAGGGAAAAGTTACCAGTAGTGAAATAGTACGAAGGCATTTCAAAAGCACATCAATTCCCCTAATGTACAGTGACGGCGGTGTGATGAATTAAGCCCAAATTCACTCCTCCGCGGTGAGCCGAAAAAATAATGCAAACATAATAAGTCTTGGTGGGACGGTTAGCGCAGATGCTAAGCTGGTTTCGTCGTGGCGGGTCTTAGGTTTGGTTCCACAAAAAAAACACAAAAAGAACAAACACTACTCGGCTACTAACCACCTACAGCTATTACTAGTACTGTCACATTTATATATCTTAAACATTTATACAACATAGCGATATTGATCTAAAGTAAGGATATTAACTTTGTTTTAAATAAAATAAGTTTCAAACTGGGCTATGATCTTACAAATTATTTGTAAAATCCTGTGTCAGTCATCATCATTATCATTTCAGCCACTGTCAGAGTCCACTGTTGAACATAGGCCTCCCTCACAGACTGCCACGAACCACGATCCTGAGCCATCTGCATTCTTCGACTTCCCGCACACGTACTCGTCACTCCATCTAGTGGGGGGTTGTCCTACACTGTGTCAGTAATAAGAATTAACGATTTGCAACTAGACTAGTAGAAGTATCGGGTGGATGTAATTTTTTCGTTTAGGTAATATGGAAAGCATACGGTAAAAAACATCTAACCAAATACGAAATCGACTACATAATTTAGTTTAATACGTTATCCACGTAATAAATCACTAGTATAATTTATGGTTAATGTACACAATAAAAATGCTACTGTGAAACTTTTGGAGGAAACATAAAACTTATACTATCTTTTCACGTGTAAGCGCGGTGCTGTTTACTGCTCAGTAAATATTGTCATTTGTGTGAATAATAAACGCGACAGTAACCGAATGGGAAGCGGCATAAATATTGACTAACGTTCAGGTATGTTGGATTTCTATAAATATACAAAAATAGGCGTCGTACCAGAGCATATGATCATCACGTGTTCAAGTGATATGCCAATAAAGTGTAACTTTATAGAATATTGTTGAACTAAGGATTCCCAGAAATTAATTATTCATATCTGTGAATCGTTTGTTTGGATCATATATATGCGTCCGTCAATTTATCTTCACACTGTATTTTATTAATTAACTATGAATCCTACAGGTTTGTTTGCTTACCTAGGCATTAATTTACGCAATTTTTCGCGTTGGCTTTGTGAAGGTAACCTAAGGTACATATTTATTTTTCTATAAAATTGCAAGTTAGTTTAAACTAACTTAAAAACAATTTCAACGGTGTTAAAGTAAATAATATTAAAGTGGCCTATGCTTTAATTAAGAATAAAAAATTAAATTTAATAAAAATAAAAATAAAAATAACTGAATGCCTTTTTTAAACGGACTTACTTTCATCGAGAGGAAAAATTTTAGTTTTAACCTACAAGGTGGCTTTTCTAAAGGTGGCCAAATTCACACATGAGGTTCAGACTCGGAAGTATAATCGTTGATTGAAATGAAAACAAAATTTTTTTTTTTCAATAAAGTTACCATTCTTTTCCCTAAAAAACAGAACTTGTTGACAATGCGGTAAATGCGTCGTATACTTTTGAATCAAACTTGTGTGCGTGTTAGTTATGAATGATCGCGCGTAAAATAAATGAGTTGCCCATAAATCAACCTTCTTTTTTGAGATGATTTAATATGAATGTAATTAATTAATTACGAGTGATTTTAAATATTTATAATTTTTATGTAATATTATTTATGCCTAGAATTTAATTTAAAAAATGGATACACTTAGAAAAGCCTCCCTGTATATCATTCTAAATTCACTTTAAAGTGGGAGCCAACATAAGAAATATAAATAACACATGGAGCCGGTTTTCCATTGGAAATTTCAATGGGTGTCCGAGTTTACGCTTGTACAGAATTTTCTTTGGGACAGTGCGTTATAACTTAACTACTAAATTGAGCCCGAACGGTTCTACTGCATTCACGAGAATAGGCTAATGTGTTTGTTTGTCACGGAGTGCACCTTGAAGAGAGCCAAGCTGCGCCGGTGAGAATGTGACACTGATGTAGAATTTAATTACAATTCACGACGGTTTTAAGAAGATGGCGGCATTCTAGCGGCACGCGAGCAACAATTATCCAGTTGTATACGGACCCTTACGCTCGAACATTGTCTAGCTCGTGTACATTGTATTATTTAAATGTGGTGTAACGAAACGCCAGGCGAATTTTAATGGAGACTCGAAGGCAGGAAATGATTTTTCTATGACGCAACGGGAAATGCTTCTGATGAAAATGTTACCGTGATTTGTTACCGTGTGTAATGTTACGGACGACCCAATTGGCGATCTTGCGCCAGAGGGTGTGGGTTCGATCCCCACTAATGGAGAAATATTGTGTGCTGAACATAGTGTTTTTCCAGTGTTTAGGTGTTTGTATATGTATAATATGTATTTATTTACAAAAGAAAAGTATGTTTAAGTATGTCTATCAGTTTTCTAGTATGCATAGTACAAACGTTGCTCAATTTGGGACTAGAGAACTGTGTATAATAATGTGTCGGAATTAATTATATCTATATTTTTTAACTATCTAGAGTGCATGGACCTATTGCGAAAGAAATCTTTAAAATGCTGCAAAGCGCTCTGATAAACGCGCGATTTGTAAATAAAGTTTTCACAGAAAAAACGGGCACTAGCTTAACTCATATCACAATAAATAAAATAAATATTACCACCTGAAGCGTCATGCGATAATTTTTCGTTCATAGCATGTTATAAGTTGTTACAGCGGTCCTCGAAAAGGTATTAAGTACCCAATCGAATCCTTAGCCAAATTATGGATAAATCACCTCCCATCTTGGACGGTCAGCATCGAATTGATCTCCGCGATTCCGCGAAAGCTTCTCCGATTGGAGTGCGCGGCGATTCTGCGGCCGGTTGTGTGTGGCAAAAAGCGATGATAATGACAAAGACCATCGGCGCAAAGGGCGCGGGAAGCGGCCACGCCGGCGGACGCGGTCGAATAACGAAGCGACCAACCACAGACTTGAGAACGGACAGACAGCCGAAAAATAAATTGTAATCGTATTGTGTGAGAATAATGTGTAAAAAAACCGTCTAAATTGTTTTCAAATTGACAGAGAGATTACACTTGAACGGTCAATTTAGAATGGACCAGTCCGAATGACCAGTCTATCGTCTTTTGCTCTTTTTACTGTTGTTGTTTCTACATATCGCAAATAAAGGTATAGAAGAATACCCGGTTTATACGATCAATGACGGAGAGAGGCAAATAAATCGGCCTTCTCTCTACTCGAAAGTGTCAGGGATCCATCCGGTTTTACCAGCGGAGGCAGTGATGGCCGCCAGAAGTTGGATTCGTCCGCTTTGGCAAGAGACCAAAAAGCTCTGCTGCCAGATGGTTGGGCGGAGAGCTTCGTGCCAATTTGTTGAATACGGTCGAGTCCAGCTCGTCGCAACATCTTTTTATAGGACTTAGCGGTCTGTTTAAAGGCTTTCTTCTTCAGGCAGGCAGCATGTCCGGAGCCTTGCGGTGTCGAGCTTCAACCCAGGAGTTAAGTTAAGTACGCCGAATGCTTGTCCTTTTCAGCCTGAGCACATTCAGCGTTAAACCATGGGCGTGCTTTGCCACCGATAGGTACATCAGCAAACGGGATGAAATACTCCATTGCTTGACGCACCACATCGGTCGGATCTCCAGAAGCAAAGCAAAAGAGCTTTTGAGCATTAACAACACTTTACACTGATATGAAATCAAAAAGACTTTTATCCAGATGTTATTTTTCCCTTGCGAAATTGAATTAAGATACAAAAGAAAAGTGACACAACAGAAGCAACGACGATGATTAACATTGCTTAATTTGCACTGCAAGACTATTTTAAGTTTGTCTTTTTATTTTTTTATAAATTATTTATGTTTGTTTAAACAAAACCGAACAGAAAGCCATTAATCAACCGATTTTTATTGTGTTTCACATTTCATCTTTTACAAGTAGACAGTAAAATCATAACGATGAACCCGTGATTTGAATTTCGCAACGATTAAAGCGTGCGATCCATTGTATTTCGCAGTGAAAAATGGATTCCTTATTTACGGGCGCCCAACTTCATCGAGAGGACTTATAAATAAATAACGCCATTTCCTAATCTGCCATATCTAAAAGCGTTTAACGCAGCGCTGGTGATATAAAATCGTAGTGATACTCGCACCAAGTGGAGGGGAGCTTCAGGCAATAGTGGCTACACGTTGCGAACAACTGCTGGGTCACGTAGAATAGCTATACCGAATTACCCGTTTGCGCAAACTGATCCCTTATTGTGCCCAGGGAAATATGCGACGGGGAGATGGAAGAAGGCCATCCCGCAAAAGTGGACTTTTACTGCATCATGCGGCGTATTGCGTACTGTGAAATTGGCCGGTGCTACCGCGCTTTGGGGACTCCATTAATATCGGGTCGGGACGCCTCCTCAGCGCTACCTAATTGGCCACGGAGCCACGATGGCTTGATAAACATCTCCCGTTTTATGAGTTCCAACCGCGGTCTGAATCGGCTGTTAATTACGGACGCGTTACGTAGTTAAGACGCGTAACATTTTAATGTCGCAACACGAAACTGTAAACTAAAGTTTTATATACTTTTCTCGCCAATCAAATAAATTTTGGAAGTTAAAAACGAGTTGAGTATACAAATAATGCAAATTAAAATGTCTATTTTTGAATGAGATCCATTTTTATTTCACAAATATAATATGTATAAAGTAAACGAAAGCTACAATTAAACCGTCTAGACACTTAAGTAAGAAACTTGAGCCGAAGAAATCTGTACTGAAATACTTTCAGTAAATTTCTTAGACGGAATAATTCGCAAGGTAGGTAGAATACGAAACTGTTTCTGTCAATTAGAGGCATCAATTTCCCCTTTTTTGTCTGTGAGACCTAGCACTATCCTGATTATAGGAATAGAAAGTTCAATTTCTAATGCCTTAGTAATATTAAATAAACTTTAATAATAAATTTTCTTTTAAAAGTTTAGTATGAATTTTTAAGATTAGGATTTTATTTAGTATTTAAGGGAGTACAAGAATTTTTCTACTTCCGGCAAACAGAGAATTTCCCAATCAAAGGGAAGTGATGAAAATATGTATTTAAATGTCTTAAGTTTACCTATTTTAAATAAGTAAAAAAACAATAATGGCCTCTTACCATACCTTTACATTGTATCCTCTCGTAATAAACAGACAAATTTATTAAAACAATATGAAAATATCGAAGAAGTTTAATAAATGATTGGAAATCAAAACTAGGAAAACTAAAAACATTTGTCAGCTTTTAATGATAGGCATTATATTTCTCTCTAGCAGGCCAAACGTTGGCATGTAGTAATGAATCATAGCCCAGTTACGTCATTATATTAGGAGTGGTTCGTAGAATGCTAAGTGTGGAATAATAATTCTCACAGAGGAACAAAAACATATTTATTACGCCATTACATTTCTAAGTCTAACACGGGTGGTGGTTAATTTAATGCCCCTTAACGTGATGTTTAACTGATTTGAATCAAGTGACACGCGGGACGAAACTATTGTCTTTGTCACTGCGAAATTCATTTGGCCTATTACAATTGTGGACTGTGTATGTACTTCCAGTTCCTTACAATTAAAATAATATTTCAATAATGCAGAAGAAGTTTATTGTTGGCAGATGTAAAATCAATTCATTACGTGTAAATAAGTTGGTTATGTTAGCTTTTCATGTTATTTATTGCCTTTAAAAATATATATATTTCAACGATTAACTATCACATTGGCCGTTAGCTAAGATATACGTTTATTCTTCATTGTTTTCTTAAGGGTGCGAATACTTCAGAGGTTAAGCCAGAGCTATAATAATGGTATCATCAATAAAGTGTTTGCCGCCGCCAGTGTTGTGGACATTCCGCCTGTAGGGGCCAACGAGATTATTTCGAGAATTTTCATATTACAAAACAATTTAGCGCGTCAAATATTAATAGACAGAGATAACCTCTATTTTCTTTTATGACATAGACGATTTTTTCAATTTTTTTTTAATTCAATTTAACCTTGCAATAGTACGATAACGGTATAATTGACACGAAATATCAACTTACAAAAGGATAACAAATATAAAGATAACGAGGTCGGTATTAAGGTGAACCAATATAAAATTACTTTGCAAGATATTTTATCTACTTGCATACCTTCATGAGAACGTATGTGAACATAATAATATGTTAAAGGGTAAACGCTTATAAGAGCGTTTACCATTTAACTAAATTATTAAAACTGCCAAAAAAATTGTGCTCACTTTAACATATATATACTTAACACCCCTGAAGAATGATTTTAGACTAAACGTCAAATATCAGTCAAGAGTGTAAATATAATCACAGTAAATTGTACCAATAAATAGTAAGCCCGGCGGCTTTTTCATTAAATTTACAAAATTTAATGAAGGTGCTGGCGAATGTTTGTGCTGTAAATTTCAATATAGTATTAAATATGTTATAAGATAGGAATGTTTTCTACCTCTTCTTTGATTCAGTTACCTATGTATAAGCCTTCGACGGAGCTAAACTTCTAATTGTCGTTTATGTGATTTATGTGCCAGTGTTGCATTAATAGATGATATTTTTTTAAATAGACAAATTGGACTAATCCCACCAATTATATAAGCTTCTTCTTAAAGTTATTTGTTCGCTATACCAATGCTATTTACTACTTACGATAATAACTTATATATATTGTGTCTGTGTTTGTGTGTGTGTGTATGGTTTTTAAAGTCACTTCAAATTTTTTATTGTGATACTAAAGGTGGTGGTAGCTTTCCCTCGCCAATTATTCAAATCACAGCCATTATAGGTACCACAGGTAGCCACAGTAGAAATTGAGGTGATGATGTAAAATATATATATTGTTATTGATAAAACATACGTGCAATTTTATCAATCTGTATGAATGCTTCAGGCATGTACTACATGGTCCAGTTCACCACCGCTTGACATGAGCGCGGCACCTCCTCCACATCATGCACGCGAGCAAATCCGTGTACAAAAGCCACTCGGGCTCTAAGACTCGTCCGTCTCTTTAAAATCTTATTCAAACTTTATAAAATAAGCGTCGCTCCCCTCCGAAGGGGCCCGCCGCCGATATTATTGTGTAGCCATCTGTGACGAGTACGGGGAGAGGCCATCGAAGAGACATATTTTTAGATTTAACTCGTAAATTACAACGATCCAATTGGTTTACGCTCGTGTGAGAATTAGGAGAGAAGTTTTATTTGCAGTGCGGTTGTTTATTGCGACTGCGAGGGTAGCTGCGGGGCTCGCTAGGTGCGTTTTTATTTTGTTTCCTCGTTGAAATAGTGGTGGCCGGGACCGCTGCTCGGCGCCGGAATTTCGGCGAACGAAATTTACGTGTCAGATTCCGTATTCCTTTGCCATTTTTTAACGACGTTCCCGCCGTTTCGGTATTCGAAGCGGTTTTCTCCTATTTGACACGCTGCGCATATTTTGCCGCGGCTGTATACACGTATGTCAACAGTTATGTGAGATAAACCGGGGGAAATGCTCCTAGCAATCGCAAAAATTGTCATGTAGCTTCTGTTGATAACGTCTTGCAATTCCGAAAATTTAACATCAAACTGCAGCCTGTACATGTTATCGGCGATTTGATCATAATAGTTCGTTAAATATCTAATCAATCCCATGAGAATGTAACATATTTTCAATTGCACAATTTGGTTCTATTTGGTTTAACTGTTTGAACAGTTATTACCTATGAACTCAGTATCAATAACGTATTTAGGAATAGCTTCGCTGTTTATTGCGGCAATAAATTAATTTACTTCCATAATATAATATTACGGTGCCGCCATAAAAAGTTTCTGTCACCATAATTTTGAACACAGATTGTTGCACTAATGCGTCGGCTTTAAAAGAAGGGGTTGTCGACCCCTTTTGCTCGATTTTCATTCGTCACACACACGCCGTCAAATGGAACTTTAATTTTTTAAAATTGGATTTATATTGGGCTTTGAAACGTAATCAAACGTGCCTGTGTGTCGGACAGTTTAATCTATTTATAAGTTCACTGTTCCGAGTCGGCATTTGAAGCCGTTTAAATTTTTAGTAGCTTATATAAAACGATTTTCAGTACTTTCGTTCTAGTGTTTGCTAGTGTAAAGAACAAGTTTTGTTGGTATTGCTTAGTAATCCATATTTGTTCATGTTTTATATTCGACAGCTATCTGGCCCGCTAAAAACGAGACTAAGAATCTACAATTAATGAAATGGAAATTTGCAACAAACCATTTTAAGGAAAATTATTCATTGGAGAAAGTTTTCTTGTTATATTTTTTTCTTTATAGAAACCTGGAATTTGGATTGTGGTGTTGTAAACTTAATTTCCCTAAAATTGAGCTGCGATTGCCGACTGTCCGGTCTTTTAATTCAGCACCCAGTGTCAGTAACAAAATTGTAAATTGCAAGTTTCAGTACTAATTATCAGTAAATATAATGAATAAACGTGCGTAATTTATAAATAATAGAAACAAATATAGGTATATAAAATCTGCTTACCGACGGTAGGATCCTTGGTACAATAACTAATCTTTCAGTGCAAAGGCGACCTCTGTTCAGTGCTGTCACTTATAGCCTATAAGATGGTTTATTTATTAGTTTAGGAAAGCGACAGCCGTCACTTTACTAAACTATTAAATAAAACATTTCTAAATAAGTTAACTTGAAAGTTATCATTATCTTCTAACCGCGGACAGTTTACAATGAAATGTAATCTTATTGTTTCAAGATTTCGAAACAATAACGACGTAAATAGACTTTACTATTAAATAAATTTACTAATAAATATCTCCATTAGTATTGTTTGTAACACAATTTGTAAACCAAAAATGCTATAAATTGAATAATTTCCTATAGGCAATAAGAAAATGATTAATCAATCAGAAAGTTTTAAGAATATTGGGTAACAGTTAAACTGTAGCCCATAGATTAATTACTTATGGTCAGATTGAATGAGATACCATAATCTATGCACCATTTAATAATCAATAATGTCAGTGGCGAGTTGTCAAGTGTTTTCATTGATTTGTTGCTTTGGGCGTAGTGGTAATTGCGTCTTCTATTTACTTATAATGATTATATAGCCAAGATATACCAGTGTCTGGGCGATCACAATAATACAATATACTCGTGCAACCTAAGTTCGATCCTGTGGATCAATGAAATTAAATATTCATTTTAAGTGCTGACTATCACGAGTTCAGAGGTGAAGGAAATCACCATGAGGAAACCTGCATACTGTGGATGCCTGGTGGACTATGCCCTGATACCGTCTGTGCAGAGGAGGACTTTGCCCAGCTGTGGGACATATATAGGTTGTTATTTTACATTACTTTATAGGGGGGCATCAGAATATTATCGTCATATTGCGCTACGATTGAATTATTGTTCGTACTGAACTGGCCGTTGATTGACCGGTAATTGATGCCGAAGACGGGTAAATCCATTAGCGAAAATCATCATGCAATGCATTAATGATTCAATTAAACGCTGAACGCAAAATTACGTAAGCCACTGTCCCACCGATAAATGACTAGACCACCGGTCTCACACGCCCTCCTATTGTTCGTTCGAAAGCGAACGAACCATCACGCGTGCGGCCGTGTAATTTGCGCATGAATTGTGTATCAGGCGATACAGCAGGAGCACTTAATAACACACAACACCTTCGGTCTTGACGAACAACCTCCACTTAGCCGTGCCCACGCGGCGCCGTTTGATTCGCATCTTTTCTAATGGCATAATTGCGGCGGCGCACGGCGAGCGTATCGCCCATAAATATTTCCGCGCAACCTTCCTCACTAGTACAGCGGTCGATCGGTTAATTGCCTGCATTAGTAATGAAGGGACAGTAACTTTCAACCGGACAGTTGGACGTCGGTAACTGGGTAGGCGTCAAACTGGCAGCGATGCTCCGAGGGTGCTCGAAATCCCGCCAAATGAATTGTTAAACGTATCGAGTCCGATATCGGTCTTTCGGTTTTTAGATCGAAATGATTGTGATATAGTAAAATGACATTGTTCAGTCCTTATTAATATGCATATAGTACACAATTGTTGTCTGGCTTATTTCGTCATACACATTATATTTTTAATTCGAGCCGTTCTATTTGCTCGGCATTTGCATTCTTAATACGTAATATACGTTGTTGGTTGGTTTTATGACAGGAAGACAATGTAAAACTCATTGCCTCAAAGAACCCAATAAACGAGCTGTGGGTCAAGTTAAATAAATTACTATACTAATAGTGCTATCGTTACATTTGAAGCAAAGGAAACGTCCGTTTGTTTATATTTCGATTTGAACGAATAGGAGCACCCTGCGAAACTTCCCGGCATCTTAGCCTGCTAAGGCTGGGTGGAATGTAATAAGAGCACGGTTTACACAAGAGTGGTGAGTCGGCAAGTTTCCTCGGCGTATTGCCGGGCCAACGAGGAAGTAAATCGGGGGCCCCGCCACGGGGAATACGCGAAACTTTATTCCACAATGGACTCTTTTGTGAAGTTCGATGAATGACGCCGCCATTATGATCCTGTTAGGTCGCGCCTATTCGCTATGTCGTCTAGTTAATACTTTTAGTACAGTCTAGTTAGAGCAGAGAAAGCAGTAGTCTGCGCAACTTCGTGTCCGCAAATAGTTTATTGGCAGATTTTTGTCATAGCATATGTACATGTATTTGGAAGAATTGAAATTTGCCGCAAGCGTCGTATTATAAAAAAAAATTACAGATAAAGTAAAAATGTTCAGCGCACATGTTGTCGCTCAATCGAATTCAGAGCGAGTGAGTCCCGTCCCTAATGAGTAATTAGGTTAATCGCACAATCACACCTGCCTAAACTTGTTGGGGAGATAAGTCGACACATGAGTATCACCTGGTTAAAAAACAAACTTAACTGCGACCCGAATATACATAGCTCACAAGTTAATGTGAACATTGATATAAATGCCATTTTCTTTTCTTTTACCCAACGCTATGTCTTGTCGGCATAATGAGTAGAGAATTTATGTTGGTATCTTCTATCTAGCATACGCTTGGAATTATTTCAGGTAAGTCTTACCTATAGTGTCTGGCGCATTACATTGATTCTAACTTAAAAATACGTTTTTTTTTTTTTCGGAATTTGTTTAAAAAAATTGGATGATTTATTTTTAATTCTATAAATACGCTTAAATTTGAAACGCTTGGACGAAGTCTAGAAATATTCTTACATGCAGATGTATTACAACAGAGATAATTACAACATTGCTCAAGTCTGCGACTTTATTGTGTGTGGAACGAAAAACATTTATTCTTGCCTTCCCTAGGTTCAGGGGTGCAAGTCGATATTAATCTGTTCCAGCACACCTCGAGTAATCCATATGGCGGTATAACCCTAATATTCAAGTCTAGTCAATGTAGATAGACGCTTTTCGTTGGTTGATTAGTAGCATGTCAATGTCCTCAAACATTTTAGACTCGAAACAAACTGAAAGTTCCAAAAATAACGGAGTTCGTAATTCAAAATAGAATTTGTAACATCCAGCCTTATAGACGCGGCGTAGCGGCAGTTTTGTTTATAAGAGAAACTCTTAACACCTTGGAAACGTAGAACTTTAAGTTCACTCCAAAACTTCGAAGCGGCTTGATTGCGAATCTGAAAAGTTCTTGTCGGAGCTTGTCCCGCATTGAGCATCCCCCGCCCTCAAATAGTGCATGGCCGCTTGGAAATGAGCTTTACGCTCTTGATAATAAAAGTGATATTCGTACTTTTTCATTGAAATTTAGTTCAAACTATCAGCTGCGGACTCTTGTCTTAAGGTTTACATGAAATGGGGATTAGTTGTCAAGTGTGACGAACGGGATTGTTGAGCTATTAGTTAAGAACTCATATGGAATTATTTTAGGTACGTATATAATTACATGAAATCGTTCAGGTAAATTAATGTTTCAATTTTGATAGTTAATAGCCGTAAAAAAAGTGCGCCTGAACCGAAAAATTCTTCTTCTTCTTCGTTATTAATAGACTGGCGAGTAGACTTAGCTCAGCAGTTTTCGCGGTCAAAAAAATAAGACTGGTATATTAACTGATGTAGATACGGCTCGCTTGGTATATTTTAGTTATTTCCACAGTATAATGTCTTATGAAATTCTGCTTTGGGGTAACGCGGCCGACATTAATACAACCTTTATCTTACAAAAGAGAGCTATTCGTGCAGTTTACAATCTGGGCCCTAAAGAATCGTTAAGAAACTTGTTTTTAAAGAGATAAAGGTATTGACTGTTGCTTCTCAATACATTTTTGAAAATGTTTTGTATGTCCATAAAAATAAGGATAAATTTTCAAGACATCATGTTCATGATAAGTAAATACAAGGAACAAACAAAAATTGATCCCACCCACAAGTAAACTGCGTAAAATAAGTAAATCCTTTATGGGACAATGTATACGTTACTACAACAAAATCCTAGAAAACCTTAAAATGCATCAATAGCTAAATTAAAAAAATAGTAAAAGAATGTTTGTGTGTTAAATGCTATTATAATATTAATGATTATTTAAATGATAACACACTCTGGTAATGAACTGATCGCTCCAGGCTCTTCCAATCAGAGCTCTTATATTGTATTTGTAATGAATTCATATCAAACTGCTTATTTAAAAAAATAAGAAAAAGAAGCCCGCTGAGTTTCTTTATCCAGTTCTTCTCAGTACAGGCTTTCTTTTCTGAACCGGTGCTAGTGTTTTGACTATCAATAAGCTAGTGTAATGCTACTATGTTGAATAAAGACATTTGATTTTGATTTGATTTTTGATTGTGTGTTCGCCCACTCTTTGTTTCCCTTGTCCAGACCGGGCCTGCTGTCTCCTTAATGTCATCGGACGGTCGGGCTGGTGGTCTGCCCACACTTCTCCTGCATAGCCGGGGTCTCCACTCCAAAACGCGCTTGCTCCAACATTGGCACATGCGTCCGGCCCAAGCCCACTTTAACTTCGTTACTCTGGCCCACGTCGACCATTCCCTTCGGCGACGTCTGATGAGCTCGTTCCATCTTCGGTCATACAATATTATGCCGAGCATGGTACGCTGCATCACCTTGAGCTTGTGGATCAATCCAGCAGTCAGCGGCCACGTCTCGCACACATATATCATAACCGGAAGAACGCATTGGGTAATAATACCCAATGCGTTCTCTCATAGTAATTGTACTCCTGCGCCTGCTCCAGTGGTCGCCCGCTCAATGAAATGGGGTTCGTTGTGAGATCGGCTGTTGGTCCTTGGTCCTCCATATTCATCTTAAGACCTATTCGCAGGTACGCGTAATATAGTTGCTCCGGCATGTGTTGCAGGTCTTCATCACGTTCAGCAATTAATACTATGTCATCAGCGTAGCGCAGGTGACTGAGGTGAATACCATTGAAATTGATTCTCTCGCCACTCCAGTCCAATGTCTTGAATATGTCCTCCATAGCGTTGGTAAATAGCTTAGGGAATATAAAGTCTCCTTGTCGGACTCCTCTTTAGACTCATAAAAGATCTGTTGGCCGACTTATACAAGCTCTTTAGGAGATGTTATATTTCGGTAGTGTATGTGACATCGATGAAGCGAATTAGTAACTGCCCAGTATTCTATGGAGTTGAACGCTTTTTCGTAATCGACGTAGGCAAGACAATAAGGCCTGTTGTACGAGCTTTCTTCACACTTTTGGATGATCTGTCGAAGTATAAAGATGTGTTCTATCGTTCCAAAGTCTTTTCTGAATCCTGCCTGTTCCTTGGGTTGAAGCAGAAAAATTACGATCTCTTTATTACACATTTATTTAAATGAAATTTGATCAATAACCTCCGTGACCCGCGTTTTAATAGAGGTAAGATTGTAAAAACAACAATTTAAAAGGTAAGAACTCATACGTAGCGAATTATTTTTTAAATTCTATTGTAGAATCGTAACTTATTAGGAGACTTATTAAGCAGATTATTTAACCTATCTTGAATTAAAAATGGTATTGTCTTACTGTCGTCTTTATCCCTCGGTAACAGACGAGCGTTTCATTGAATTCAAGAATAACACAATCAAAGCCATTGGAGAACTCACCACCCACAACCCCCACAAGTACTTCAGATCCACCATCGAATATTAGACGGAGATCCCAGAGCACACATCTACAGAAATATCCAAAAAAAAAAACTCTTCTCGTTCAGTGTCTAAGCAAAGCAATTAAACAGAGTGAAACGGAGAGGAAAAACGACAAAATGTTCAATTGCAGTATGTTAATGTGGGTAAAAGGGATCTCGTTCACCATTTAATGTCAGACGTGCGCTATTAAGTGTGATTCCCGCCGGTGCAATGCAGGACCATTAACATGCACTGTTTATTAAACTGCGAAGTGAGCGCAGAGCGTAGACGGAGCGCATTCTGCTTGACGGGTTCGTTGCGGGGGCGCCTTCCGCGGCCGGCCGATGGGTGCCAATTTTTCAATCAGAACAGGTATGAAGGTTTGAAGATAGATACGAAACTAATTGCGCTCTAGAGATAGGCAATTATGGTGGCGCCGATCGCTCTGCAGTGGTAATGAAAGGGCAGGGAAAGAATTTTCAGCTAAGGTTAGGTTGGATAGATCCAATCTACTCGAGCAACCTGAGTTTAAATGCTGGTACCGGCGCCAATGTAATTGTTAATTTTAACTGCTGACTTATCAAGTTATCACTCAGCGGTATAGGTAAGGCCTGCGTATTTTCGGAGTAATAATAAAAAAAGACGAAATTAAGAAAATAATATGTGAAGCCCACAGTGGTATTACGCCGTGGACTTTACCCAGCAATGGGACATTTATAGTAAAGTTACTAGATGGGTTAGATGTAGTCAATGTGGCACGTATCTTTTGTGCCCTTTGTATATGATATTTCTTAATATGCAAGGGGCTAATAATATCTTAATCATCGTTTTCTTATGGATATTTGCGTGAACACCATATTCAGCAGCGCAGCAGGTGGAAAAGCGGCCTGTACCAAGTGGAAAATGTTTACCTTGAGTTTAGTTTATTTTGTCTCCCTCATTGTTAATGTTCACAAGTATTTAGTATGCACGTTTATTACACAGTGCCTTTCGAACATGTTTTAATTTTATTACATGGAATAATAAAAAGCGGAAAATAAAACGAAATGAGGAGATATTTTTAACTATGCAAGTGACGTCCAATTCGTCTGCTAAACTATAAAAGTCCTTCTTTGAATTCTATTGACCCTTAGTCGACCTAATAATGTTTTCTGTAAAAAGTAGTATACTCTTACTACTTTTAATTTTATTTTATTAGAAACCATGGTAGTTTATTAGATACATCTATGGTAAACTTGTTAATGTTTTATATTCCTGACAGTAATTCTTTAGATATAATGCCAAATGCTCATGCAATAGCTCTCTATCTATTTTATAAGCAAAACGGTGAATAAACGTACACAACAATGCATTTTTTATTTAATCCAACTTCAAAATCGAAATCTGCCAATGAATTCATTTTAATCTACGATTACATTAATAGTTAAACAAAAAAAGATAACTTACGAGGTAAGTAGTTTAATTAACAGATTTTATATACATTACCATACCCTAAAGGTACATAAAGCATTGGGGAAATAGTTTTAACGTGGTCTTGGCAAACTAAAGGTATTTTTTAGGTGATGTTCAAGTTTCACTTGTTAAAACCAAAGAAAATGGAGTTTATCGCACAAATATTGATTAGCAAAACGGCGAAGCCTACGCAAAACATACCGACAGTTCACAAGTGTTTCGAAATGCTCATCATAACAATATCTCGAGTGTACTTCGTGTTGTTTCTAATTTGAGTGGCCTTTTGATCTATGCGACTATATCGTCACAGTGCCGTATTTAACATTGACACATTTTCAATACATTATAGAATATCTCGAAACAACTCCGAAACTGAGGTTGGGGACTATGGAACATGGTGTAAGCACTTAAAATCACGGATTTTTGCATTAAAAGTTGACAGGCGGTTCACCTTACAACGCCTTAGGGGCCGCTGATGCTTTGCGAACCTTAAGAAAAGTGAGCTCCGGCAACCTCTCTCACCAGACGAAAAGCGAATAATACTAAAACTGCACGCCGGTCTTCTGCGAGGGCGTGGTTCTTTCCCGGATGAGGCCTGATTCTCGATTAGCAACTTCGTGTCGGCACATATTATATTTGTTAAACATTGTTAAACGAGGATTCCGTTGCAGTTAATTACATTTTCGTTTCGCGATGTTTCGAAAGTATTACAGCACTTTAGTTACTTTTCTTAAGTTTTTTAACTAAACGACGATTATTTTCCAGAGAATACAGTCGTTAGGCGTTTCTAGATTACCTTCTATATGGTCTTAGCAATTCTACATCAAAATCCGCCTCCCCCGATTTGGTTCATTTTTATTCGCACTAAAAATGAACGAAATGAACAATAGAAATGAACGAAGTAAAAAAAAGCTAATCTTTGTGTATTTGTAAAGTCTCCACGTCGCAAGTTATAAGAAATGAAATATAGGATATGAATGAAAATTGAAATTGACATATTATATTTATATTATTATTATGATATGTTAAACTTTGCTAACAATAAAATAACCATGCGAACGAATCCACGAAACTAAAGTTTTTATATAATAAATATAGACCATATATGGAAGCATTCCTCCGGTCCACATAAGCCATTGAAATCATAAATAGACTCATAAGAAGAATGCTGCCGCTTGGCTGCATTGCAGCATTTAGTCTTCACACTAGTTTCGCAACGGAGAGAGGGAATGTTCCGAGTTCGACTTTTACATTTTTAAAATACTTAATAAGATCGATAGAAGAACTATATTTATATTAAGAAACACAGAAATTGACGTCAAACCTTCTGATATGTATTTTTTATTAATATGCGTGGTGAAAACTTTGGATCTCTTTTTACAAATAATATTGCTTGCACGAAAGATTGTGGAATTTGGTTAATATTTGTATGAAAAATAGTCGTATAGGGCTAAAACTTAAAACAATATGTTTATTGAAATTTGTCAAAAGAAAATTGACGAAAAGATATTCATCGCTGCGGGAATCGAACCTACCTATATTCATTTTTATTGAATTACCCACATATATTCAATTATATAACCCATACATAAAATAAAACGTTCATTGTTTACTTTCATACTGTGAAAACATCTGCACATAATAATGGTTGACAGCAACATTATTGAAAGGGGGAAGTTCTTTTATTATTTAAGATGGTGGCAAACGAACTGGTTACCTGATGTTAAGTGATAGATGCCGCCCAATGGCGTTTGCAACACCCATAGGGTTGCAGATGCGTTGCCCTTTCAGTAAATTCGCCTGACTACCTTACTCGCCAGACGAAAAGCAGCAGACGAAAGCATAACATTTCACGCTGGTCTTCTGTGAGGTCATGGTACTTACCCGGACGGACCTGCTCATTCGGGCAACAGCGATGACTGTTGCGTGGCCACTGCAAAAGTTGTAGTTTGAGTTGAAAGTTTTCATCCTTTGTTTCTTTTCCGATTAGGTATTATTATCTGGGTTCACATTCTCAATGATTCATAACACACCTGCGAAAATTCTGGTGTTCCTCACGTATCATCAGGTAAATCTATCCTTAACTACTGTTTATAATCGAGTTGTGGTGTTAGTTTAAATACCTATATCAACACGTATACGTTCAAACTTTGCTTCGTTCCCTAAGTGAATAACGTGAGACGTTCAGACAAATCACAGTCTCAGACAATCCGCGCCGCGATATGCGAAACAACAATTTTAATATCACAAGAGCAATTTGCATTCGCTAGGTGCGTTTAATAAAACTACGGAGCGAACAGCCAGGCGATGGTATGAACTCTTGCAAATTGCTTTAAGCTTCAGGGCGGCGTCGGTTAACAAGAACGCGCGGGTGCAGTTCCGCCGGGCGCTCAGTTAAGGCCAAGCGACTCTCTTACTTTAATTCTAGAAGAAATATGAGGAGGAAACAGGTCTTACGCCTTCACTTTAATGAAAAAAAAACACTGCCAATGCTGGGAAACCGAAAAATACTAAAAAGTAGATGTAGAGGAGACATATTCATTTAGGCACACATCAGGAAATAGAAACGTAATATTAAAGAAAAGCTAAGAAGTTTCGCAACATTCCCGATATTTTTCCCGAGACTTTAAATTTTCCGTTTTCCAATTTATCTGCATCTTATTCTATGGCAATCCTTTATTCAAGACATTTTAAATACTACATCACTAAGTTTTAGTTATC